CGAGGTGTTCCGCGATCTTACGCGGAGGATCGTCGATCGACGAACGGTTAGAATTTCCAAGGAACAATAGATCAGCGGTCGGGTTGGCAGAGAGCGGCAAGGTGGCCGAGCAGGTGAATGAATGACGTGATCCAAGCTCCTCCTTCCGATGCAGGATCACCGGTATAGGCCGCGCTCTCTCTCGTATAGGGCCGAGAGAGCACATGGTATGTCATGCCACGGCGTGTAGTGCGTTATTTCATGGGACGGCATCGTCGTCGCATTCCTATAGCATCGAGGTACATAAGTGGTTGTACAGTTAACCCGTCGGGTCCGGCTGTTCGCCAGTTGCACCAGGGGAGGTCACCCGAGTTCCGAGAATGATCGTCCCCTTCCTCCACACCCTGGGCTCTTCACCTTCTTACTTTTCTTTCTTTCGCATCGGCGTCCTTCTCCCTTGATTCTCCTTGCTTCTGGTCCTCTCTTCTTTTCTGCAGCTACTACCTCCTACCAGCCGTCTCCGCGCAGGCCGGTTTCTTTTCCTTTCCGAGTTCTTCTTCTGATTTCCACGGTCAGGGTCGCTAACTCTCGTCCCGTCGTCTGCCGTGCTACCAGACAGCTAGGCTGACGACCGTCGTCCTGGAGGCTGGCTGCTGCCTCTCGCTTCCGATCGCCTTTGCTCGCGATCGACGCGTTCGATTCCCTCGAGCGATACGCGATCAGCCGGTCCGAGAGCGAGGACTTTTGTTCTGCGAAATGATAGCTGTCAATAGCGGCTCGAACCTTTACGATTATGATCCACAGCGTGCACCAGGATAAATTTGCATTCTATCGAACATTCATCCTTATCGATGCTTCTAGTCGGGGGTAATATTTAAATCGTTGTTATTTCTGCTTCTGCATTTGATTCTACGTGTGCGTGTTCTCACGCAGAAAGAAGACACGCGCGAAGGAGCAAAGATGGCGTCGAGAATATTCGCTTAGAATCCAGGAGAAAGTATCGGCTCGACGCAGGAACTGATCCTCCAGTGTTCTCCTAGAGGTCCGTCTCCAAGGGACACGGTTCTCCACCCTTTCTACGAAATTCAATCGTCGCGAGATCGATGTGGAACACATTCCCGGAGCAGTTCAGCCCCCGTCCGTTTCTCCGTCTCTCTTGCCCGTTGATAATAAAATTAACAGTTTACGAATGATTATCTCGATTGACGCACGTGTGCCAAAGTAATGCTTGAAAAACCCATTAGCCGTTATCTTCTCCTCTTTCTTCGGTGCCGCTCGTTTCTAGATTAGAAAGCATTTATCGTGCTCGAAACGGCGTGGGCCCATTTCTAAGCGATTCGCGAAACAAGGGGACGGAAGTCCGGAAACGTCAGCCACGATTCTTTATTTCCCTTTTTTCCCTTCCTGAATCGGTTTCCGCGTGTTGCTAATCGCGGTTGCCCTCGGTTCCAAGGCAAACCTTTCACGAGCGGCACGACGCGCGTCTAGGAATTCCGCGCGAGGGCGTCGCGCTGTCTCGGAGCCGAAAATCGAAGATTTCTCCCGGCAGCAGAAAGAAAGAGATCTTACCAAACTGGTTGGTACCCATAAAAAAAGTAGCACGCGTGTGTTTTGGTTCCCGTAGTCAAACTCGTATCACGGGTACACCGTTATACACGCATATTCGATCGCGCCGCCGCTAACTTGGTGGTCCATCGCCGGCGGACTACCCATAAAAATTCGCTCTGTTTAATGAAAATAAGGGAAACCGAGCTCGCGCGGGCGAACGGCCCGCTATCGTTTAACTTAACGGGCTATCGAACATAACAGCACACTTCGGCCGATGTGTACCAACATGGCGTCCCGGGTAGCTTCGTTGAACGCACCGCGGTCGCCATTTTGCATTCCATAAGGCCGCGGTTGTCCTTACGTGGCAACACCTATCCTTGCGTTCGTGGTCGTGCAACCGACCCGAAGGATCGTAAATTACTTTCCCCGAGATCTTCGACCGGAGAAATATCCGACGATGATCGGCTGTTCGACTTTCCTTCGACGTTGATCGAACCTTGTCTCTTCGTCCGAAATCTTTC